AGTGCCCCATTGTTGGTATCAGTGGGAGGAATAGTGCCCCATCATTGGTGTCAGTGGGAGGAATAGTGCCCCATCGTTGGTATCAGTGGGAGGATAGTGCCCATCATTGGTGTCAGTGGGAGGAATAGTGCCCCATCGTTGGTGTCAGTGGGAGGAATAGTGCCCCATCACTGGTGTCAGTGGGGAGGAATAGTGCCCCATCACTGGTGTCAGTGGGATGGAATAGTGCCCATCATCTTGGTGTCAGTGGGAGGAATAGTGCCCCATCACTGATGTCAGTGGGAGGAATAGTGCCCCATCACTGGTGTCAGTGGGAGGAATAGTGCCCCCCATCAGGTGTCAGTGGGGAATATGGTGCCCCATCGTTGGTGTCAGTGGGAGGAATAGTGCCCATCGTTGGTGTCAGTGTGGGGAGGAATAGTGCCCCATCGTTGGTGTCAGTGGGAGAATAGTGCCCCATCAGTGGTGAGGAAAATAGTGCCCCATCGTTGGTGTGTCAGTGGGAGGAATAGTGCCCCATCGTTGGTGTCAGTGGGAGGAAAATGAATAGTGCCCCATCACGTGGTGTCAGTCAGTGGGAGGAATAGTGCCCCATCGTTGGTGTCAGTGGGAGGAATAGTGCCCCCATCGTTGGTGTCAGTGGGGAGGAATAGTGCCCATCATTGGTGTCAGTGGGAGGAATTAGTGCCCCATCGTTGGGAGGGGAGGAATAGTGCCCCATCGTTGGTCAGTTGTGGAGGAATAGTGCCCCATCGTTGGAGTCAGTGGGAGAAATAGTGCCCCATCGTTGGTGTCTAGTGGGAGGAATAGTGCCCCATCATTGGTGTCAGTGGGGGGAATAGTGCCCCATCATTGGTGTCAGTGGGGGGAGTAGTGCCCCATCATTGGTGTCAGTGGGAGGAGTAGTGCCCATCAGTTGGTGTCAGTGGGGGGAGTAGTGCCCCATCACTGGTGTCAGTGGTGGGGGGGAGTAGTGCCCCATCACTGGTGTCAGTGGGGGGAATAGTGCCCCATCACTGGTCAGTGGGAGGAATAGTGCCCCATCATTGGTGTCAGTGGGAGGAGTAGTGCCCATCAATGGTGTCAGTGGGAGGAGGAATAGTGCCCCATCATTGGTGTCAGTGTGGGGGGGGAGTAAATAGTGCCCCATCATGGGTGTCAGTGGGGAGGCATAGTAGTGCCCCATCATCATTGGTGTCAGTGGGGGAGTAGTGCCCCATCATTGGTGTCAGTGGGGAGTGGGAAGGGATAGTGCCCCATCATTGGTGTCAGTGGGGGAAGTAGTGCCCCATCATTGGTGTCAGTGGGGGGAATAGTGCCCATCATTGGTGTCAGTGGGGGGGAATAGTGCCCCATCACTGTGTGTCAGTGGGGGAATAGTGCCCCATCATTGGTGTCAGTGGGAGGAATAGTGCCCCATCATGTCAGTGGGTGTCAGTGGGAGGAATAGTGCCCCATCATTGGTGTCAGTGGGAATAAGGCCCCATCGGGTGTCGGAATAGTGCCCCATCGTTGGTGTCAGTGGGGGGAGGAATAGTGCCCCATCGTTGGTGTCAGTGGGGGGTGGAATAGTGCCCCCATCATTGGTGTCAGTGGGGAGGGAATAGTGCCCCATCATTGGTGTCAGTGGGGGGCAGGAATAGTGCCCGATCATCATTGGTGTCAGTGGGGGGAATAGTGCCCCATCGTTTGGTGTCAGGGGGGGGGGGAATAGTGCCCCCCATCGTTGGTGTCAGTGGGGGGAAAGGAATAGTGCCCCATCGTTGGTGTCAGTGGGGGGAGGAATAGTGCCCATCGTTGGTGTCAGTGGGGGGAGGAATACTGCCCACATCGTTGGTGTCAGTGGGGGGAGGAAAAGTGCCCCATCGTTTGGTGTGTCAGTGTGGGGGAGGAATAGTGCCCCATCGTTGGTGTCAGTGTGGGGAGGAATAGTGCCCCATCGTTTTGGTGTCAGTGGGGGGAGGAATAGTGCCCATCGTTGGTGTCAGTGGGGGGGGAATAGGAATAGTGCCCCATCGTTGGTGTCAGTGGGGGGAGGAATAGTGCCCCATCGTTGGTGTCAGTTGGGGGAGGAATAGTGCCCCATCGTTGGTGTCAGTGGGGGGGGGAATAGTGCCCCATCGTTGTGTCAGTGGGGGGAGGAATAGTGCCCCATCGTTGATGGTGTCAGTGGGGGGAGGAATAGTGCCCCATCGTTGGTGTCAGTGGGGGGAGGAATAGTGCCCCATCGTTGGTATTAGTGACACAAATGATGGGGCACTATTCCTCCCACTGACACCAATGATACTTACTTTGCTGACCCCTGCTCCAGCCTGGGCTCGCTCTCTCACTTACCTGTCAGCTGTCTTCCTTCTCTGGCCTCTCTCCTCTTCACTCGCTCCGGCAGCTCCCTCGGTCTTCTTTGATGTACGCGCGCTGCCCGCTCGGCTCCTCCTCTCCAAGCTCCACCTCCTCGCCGGTGATTGGGCCGCCTGTGTGCCTCTCCTGAGCTACAGTTCCGGTGGCCAATCAGCGGCGAGGAGGCGGAGCTGCTGAGCGATCCCGGAGGTGTGGCCAGGTGACAGCAGCGTATCATCCTGCCCACACATCGCCGGAGACTGCAGCGGTGTCTCGGTTCCTAAGACCATCGGAAATATGTGTTTTCCGATGGTCTTAGGCGACCCCCAGGAAATTGAGAACCGCTGGTTTCGCGCCCTCCAAAAACCAGCTGGTTTAGATCCTGTTGGATCTACTAAAGTCTGTATGGAAGGCTTCTAAGAAATGAAAACAGCTGAGCGTACAAGAGTCCAGAATCTGCCCTCCATGAGGATTACCCAAAATGTGGAATAAAGGAGAGCTCCCCAGAGCAATGGATGTGGTCAATAGTAGTGTAGAACACACCCACGATGTTGTGCCGATCAGCGGATGTGATTTGAGCAAAAAAGCATGACACCACGGGGCCCGTTAAAGTGGTGTCTGTCTCTGAGCCTGTTCAATATGTGTCCACAATGTAATATCCCCATGACGACACCAGTCTATTAATCTTTCTCTATGAAAATTTATTTGCAGAGCAGGGATAGCTAAACCATTGCTTGGGCAAAGTGAGCAGACGCCGCCGGATCCGAGGCCTCCCATGCGCCCAGACAAAGTTCATGGACATAGAGTGTGCCTGATTAACCTCTTGACGCTGGTGCCTCCTGGCCCTTTAAGGGGTGTCAGACGCCGGGAAGCGGGACGGGGTTTTAGGGTCATGCGGCCACCTTGATTCGCTGTCACAGCGGTCATATGATCGGAAAAGGTCCCGATTGCAAGGGAAAATCGGGACCTTCTGTGAGACACCGACACATGTGCTGTGAGAGCGCGCAGGTGCGCACGCTCTCAGCACATATGTGTTTTTAAATGACACCAAATATGCGGCTTCTCGACCTCAAGGCCCAGCCGCCGAGAGGCTGCATATTTGCGCACGCTCGGCGTCAAGGGATTAAAGAATGCAGATGGGATGTAGATGGAGAGGGCTTGAAATAAGTAGACATTTAGGCAAAATACTAGTTTTTAATGATGTCACAGTGCTCAAACCAGGAATAGAGACCGCTGCGCCAATTATCCAGAGGAGTACGTACCAGATCCAAGAGTGGTGGAAAGTTTTTTGCGTTTTGAGTTTTCCCGCGGCCGCGCCGCAGGGTAGACTAGTATATATCTAGCTTTAGGGCTAGTTCACAGGAGGGGTGTATTTACCACAAGGCAAACAAGGCACTTGCCTAGGGCGGCATTTTTCAGGGGGGCAGCACCTCCCGTCAGAAGAAGAGATGGAAAAAGGGACATGTGAGATGGGAAACTGGGTGGGGATGTGAGAGAGGCTGCAGGCTGCTTGATGGTGTAAATAGAGCCTGACTCTCTTTCCCGGGGGATGTCTGGAGCTGTGATGAGTGTCTTCCCATCTATATATGGGGGGCAGGGGCGGACTGACCATTTGGAAACTCGGGCACTGCCCGAGGGCCCGGGGTCAGTAGGGGGCCCCATGAGATGCCCCTGGTACCTTTTTTCAAAGACTTTTTTGAGTTTGGGCAAGGACACAGGGGTCCCATGATTTCCCTATTGCCACGGGGGGCCCCATGAGTTGTCAGTCCAACCCTGGGCAGGGTGTTTTTGGTGGTGTTGGCCGATGTCCGTGCGGGTAGAAAATGTTTCTGTTGCCACAGGGCAGCACAAAACCTAAATACACCACATGCATTCCAGTGCTTTCTTTTCTGCATCCAAAACACATAGGAAGTAGGCTACATGGTTGTCAATGGCCTAACATCCTCCACAATGCAGCGCAATCCCATCAAATAATGTGACAGTCCTTAATTCAAAACAATCTAATGGTCCTTCACAGGGGCGGACTGACCATTTGGAAACTCGGGCACTGCCCGAGGGCCCGGGGTCAGTAGGGGGCCCCGTGAGATGCCCCTGGTACCTTTTTCATAGGCTTTTTTGAGTTTGGGCAAGGACACAGGGGCCCCCATGATCCCCTATTGCCAAGGGGCCCCATGAGTTGTCAGTCCGCCCCTGGTCCTTCAATAGCCAATAAAGCTGTATTTCTTCCACCACTCTGATGTGATTTATCTCTTCCTTCCTCTTCTCTCAAGCTCTGTGACACATGCAAACACCCGGTTATAATATGACCTCACCTTGTGCAATGGACGTCAATACAGATCAAGTTCATAACACACTTGGGTATATATATATATATATATATATATATATATGGCATCAGCTATTCCGCCTTAGGATTCCTTACTATGGAAACATCACAAGAAAAATAGAATGGGACCTCAATAATGCTCCCTGAATAGTAACAACTAGTGATGAGCCGAACAACCCCCTGTTCAGTTCGCGGTCGAACATTCGAACCAACATTCGACCGCGGACCTCAAACACAAACAATTTACTGGGTGGTATCTTATCGCATCTGAGTATTATTATTATTATTATTTAGGGTTTCCTCCCACACTCCAAAGCAGGGGCGGACTGACAACTCATGGGGCCCCCAGGCAATAGGGGATCATGGGGCCCCTGTGTCCTTGCCCAAACTCAAAAAAGCCTATGAAAAAGGTACCAGGGGTATCACATGGGGCCCCCTACTGACCCCGGGCCCTCGGGCAGTGTCCGAGTTTCCAAATGGTCAGTCCGCCCCTGCTCCAAAGACATGCTGGTAGGTGAATTGGATCCTGTCTGAATTGTCCCTAGTATGTGTATGTATAATGTAGTTAGGGACCTTAGATTGTACGCCCCTTGAGGGTTAGGGACCTTAGACTGTACGCCCCTTGAGGGTTAGGGACTGATGTGAATGTACAATATATATGTAAAGTGCTGTGTACATTGATGGCAATATATAAGTACCTGAAATAAATAAATTATTATATAGGATTTATATGGCACCAACAGTTTGCTCAGCACTTTACAATATAATGGGAGACAATACAGCAACAATAAAGTTCAATACAAGAGGGATAGGAGGGCCCTGATCCTGGGAGCTTACAATCTAGGAGGGAGGGGCTAGTGGTACAAAAGGTAATAACTGTGGGGGATGGACTGGCAGGAGGAATAGAAGATTCCAATATTAGCTGAAGGCAGGATAGGCTTCCCTGAAGAGAGGTTTTTCAGAGATCGCCTAAAAGTGAGCAGAGTAGGCAATAGTCTTATAAATTGGGGTAGAGAGTTCCAGAGGATGGGGGAAGCTCTGGAGAAGTCCTGGAGATGAACATGGGAGGAGGAGACAAGGGAGCTAGAGAGCAGGAGGTCGTGCGAGGAGCGGAGAGGACGGTTTGGGTGATATTTGGAGACAAGATTGGTGATGTAATTTGGGGTGGAGTTATAAATGGCTCTATATGTTAGTGTTATTGTTTTGAATTTTATCCGTTGGGCAACGGGAAGCCAGTGGAGGGATTGGCAGAGAGGGGTGGAGGACACTGAGTGGAGGTCAGTAGAGGGATTGGCAGAGAGGGGGTGGAGGACACTGAGTGGAGGCCAGTGGAGGGATTGGCAGAGAGGGGTGGAGGACACTGAGTGGAAGCCACTGGAGGGATTGGCAGAGAGGGGGTGGAGAGGGCACACTGAGTGGAGAGGTCACTGGAGGGATTGGCAGAGAGGGGTGGAGGACACTGAGTGGAGGCCAGTGGAGGGATTGGCAGAGAGGGGTGGAGGACACTGAGTGGAGGCACAGAAAGGGGATGGAGGACACTGAGTGGAGGCCAGTGGAGGGATTGGCAGAGAGGGACGGAGGACACTGAGTGGAGGCCAGTGGAGGGATTGGCAGAGAGGGGTGGAGGACTGAGTGGAGGCCAGTGGAGGGATTGGCAGAGAGGTTGGAGAACTGAGTGGAGGTCAGTAGAGGGATTGGCAGAGAGGGGTGGAGGACACTGAGTGGAGGCCAGTGGAGGGATTGGCAGAGAGGGGTGGAGGACACTGAGTGGAAGCCACTGGTGGGATTGGCAGAGAGGGGGTGGAGGACACTGAGTGGAGGCAGTGGAGGGATTGGCAGAGAGGGGTGGAGGACACTGAGTGGAGGCCAGTGGAGGGATTGGCAGAGAGGGGTGGAGGACACTGAGTGGAGGCCAGTAGAGGGATTGGCAGAAAGGGATGGAGGACACTGAGTGGAGGCCAGTGGAGGGATTGGCAGAGAGGGGTGGAGGACACTGAGTGGAGGCCAGTGGAGGGATTGGCAGAGAGGGGTGGAGGACACTGAGTGGAGGCCAGTGGAGGGATTGGCAGAGAGGGGTGGAGACACTGAGTGGAGGTCAGTGGAGGGATTGGCAGAGAGGGGTGGAGGACACTGAGTGGAGGCCAGTGGAGGGATTGGCAGAGAGGACACTGATGGAGGTCAGTGGAGGGATTGGCAGAGAGGGGCGGAGGACATTGAGTGGAGGTCCAGTGGAGGGATTGGCAGAGGGGTGGAGGACACTGAGTGGAGGTCAGTGGAGGGATTGGCAGGGAGGGGTGGAGGACACTGAGTGGAGGCCAGTGGAGGGATTGGCAGAGAGGGGTGGAGGACACTGAGTGGAGGCCAGTGGAGGGATTGGCAGAGAGGGGTGGAGGACACTGAGTGGAGGCCAGTGGAGGGATTGGCAGAGAGGGGTGGAGGACACTGAGTGGAGACCAGTGGAGGGATTGGCAGAGAGGGGTGGAGGACACTGAGTGGAGACAGTGGAGGGATTGGCAGAGAGGGGTGGAGGACACTGAGTGGAGGCCAGTGGAGGGATTGGCAGAGAGGGGTGGAGGACACTGAGTGGAGGCCAGTGGAGGGATTGGCAGAGAGGGGTGGAGGACACTGAGTGGAGGCCAGTGGAGGGATTGGCAGAGAGGGGTGGAGGACACTGAGTGGAGACCAGTGGAGGGATTGGCAGAGAGGGGTGGAGGACACTGAGTGGAGGCCAGTGGAGGGATTGGCAGAGAGGGGTGGCAGATACAGAACGGTTAGTAAGGTGGATGAGTCTGGCAGCAGCATTCATGATAGACTGAAGAGGGGATAGCCTGCGATGAGGTCGGCCAATGAGTATGTAGTAAGATATCACTCAGTTACTATAATACGGGTTATATTATTAGGTCATGCGGTATTTTAGTAGTTGCAAATAAAAGTGTTTCTATCATTCGGCATTGCTGTGATTTGTAGTACCACGGACAATTGATGTCTATCACACAAGTATCGCTCAGACATGTAGTGTCACGGACATTCTACTTACCATTTGTTTTATAAGATTTGTGAGGTATATGTGCGTTTTATTAAGTTCGTATCACATTGATATTGTCTGCTCACTATATTCTCTTAAGCACTTTGTGACTGAATTGGAGATTTAATATTTAGTTTTATTTGTATCTAGTCTTGTGGGTCTTGTTACTTCGCCCAATTTGTGCTAGTAGCTTCAAACATTCTGCGCTCGCCTTACATCTTGTATTATATTTCGGTATTTTAGTAGTGAGACATTCATTCATATTTCATCTGTCAGTGAGGTTCCCCGCTGACAGCTGAATGTAAAAAGAATTGTCGGCATTGCCAGACAATTAAAATTAAAAAAAAAAAAAACCGACGTGGGGTCCCCCGTCCCATCCATACCAAGCCCTTCGGGTTTGGTATAGATTTTAAAGGGAACTCCAATGCCAAAATTAAAAAAAAAAAAGTTGCCAGGGTCCCCCCCCTAAAAAATTCATACCAGACCCCCAAAAAAGTGTAGTGTAAAAAGAGACGGGAGACAGTCTTTGACAAGTCCTTTATTTAAAAAAAAAAAATATATCTCCCAAAGTAGATCCAACGTCAATCACAAAGCTACCCAGAAAAAAAAAAAAAAAAAAAGGTGCCGGGGGTCCCCCCCCCTCAAATCCATACCAGGCCCTTATCAGAGCATGCAGCTGGTCAGGAAAGGGGGGGACGAGCGAGTGCCCCCCTCTCCTCCTGAACCATACTAGGCCACAAGCCCTCAACATGGGGGGGGTGTAAAAATTAACAAAATGTCTTCCAAAGTAGATTCAACGTCAATCACAATGCTACCCGGAAAAAAAAAAAGGCGCGGGGGTCCCCCCCAAAATCCATACCAGACCCTTATCCAAGCATGCAGCAGGTCAGGAAAGGGGGGGGATGAGCGAGCGCCCCCCCTCTCCTCCTGAACCATACCAGGCCACCTTTTTCTCAACCTGGGTGGGGGGTGCTTTGGGGCAGAGGAGGTTCCCCCCACAATGCTACTCGAAAAAAAAAAACGGTGCTGGGGTCCCCCCCCCCCCCAAATCCATACCAGGCCCTTATTAGAGCATGCAGCTGGTCAGAAAAGGGGGGGGATGAGCGAGTGCCCCCCTCTCCTCCTGAACCATACTAGGCCACAAGCCCTCAACATGGGGGGGGTGTAAAAATTAACAAAATGTCTCCCAAAGTAGATTCAACGTCAATCACAATGCTACCCGGAAAAAAAAAAAAAAAGGCGCGGTGTCCCCCCCAAAATCCACACCAGACCCTTATCCAAGCATGCAGCAGGTCAGGAAAGGGGGGGGGTCGAGCGAGCGCCCCCCCTCTCCTCCTGAACCCATACCAGGCCACGTGCCCTCAACCTGGGGGGGGGGTGCTTTGGGGCAGAGGAGGTTCCCCCCACAATGCTACTCGAAAAAAAAAAAAAGGTGCTGGGGTCCCCCCCCCCAAATCCATACCAGGCCCTTATCAGAGCATGCAGCTGGTCAGGAAAGGGGGGGACGAGCGAGTGCCCCCCTCTCCTCCTGAACCATACTAGGCCACAAGCCCTCAACATGGGGGGGTGTAAAAATTAACAAAATGTCTCCCAAAGTAGATTCAACGTCAATCACAATGCTACCCGGAAAAAAAAAAAAAAGGCGCGGTGTCCCCCCCAAAATCCATACCAGACCCTTATCCAAGCATGCAGCAGGTCAGGAAAGGGGGGGGGGGCAAGTTGAGCGAGCGCCCCCCCCTCTCCTCCTGAACCATACCAGGCCACGTGCCCTCAACCTGGGGGGGGGGTGCTTTGGGGCAGAGGAGGTTCCCCCCACAATGCTACTCGAAAAAAAAAAAAAAAGGTGCTGGGGTCCCCCCCCAAATCCATACCAGGCCCTTATCAGAGCATGCAGCTGGTCAGGAAAGGGTGGGACGAGCGAGTGCCCCCCTCTCCTGAACCATACTAGGCCACAAGCCCTCAACATGGGGGGGGGGTGTAAAAATTAACAAAATGTCTCCCAAAGTAGATTCAACGTCAATCACAATGCTACCTGTAAAAAAAAAAAAGGCGCGGTGTCCCCCCCAAAATCCATACCAGACCCTTATCCAAGCATGCAGCAGGTCAGGAAAGGGGGGGGGATGAGTGAGCGCCCCCCCTCTCCTCTTGAACCATACCAGGCCACGTGTCCTCAACCTGGGGGGGGGTGCTTTGGGGCAGAGGAGGTTCCCCCCACAATGCTACTCAAAAAAAAAAAAACGGTGCTGGGGTCCCCCCCCAAGTCCATACCAGGCCCTTATCAGAGCATGCAGCTTGTCAGGAAAGGGGGGGACGAGCGAGTGCCCCCCTCTCCTCCTGAACCATACTAGGCCACAAGCCCTCAACATGGGGGGGTGCTTTGAGGCAGAGGGGGTTCCCCCCTCAAAGCACCTTGTCCCCATGTTGATGGGGACAAGAGCTTCATGGTACATGGTATCGCTACCCATTCACACAAAAAAAGTGTATTGTAAAAAAGGACAGGAGACAGTCTTTGGCAAGTCCTTTATTAAAAAAAAAAATGTCTCCCAAAGTAAATCCAACGTATCACAGTGCTACCCGAAAAAAAAAAGTGCGGGGTCCCTCCCAAAATCCATACCAACCCCTTTGGGTTTAGTATAGATTTTGAGGGGAACCCCAACACCAAACACCAACGACCCTTATCCAAGCATGCAGCAGGTCAGGAAAAGGGGGAATGAGTGAGCACCCCCCCCCCTCTACTCCTGAACCATACCAGGCCTCATGCCCTCAACATGGGGTGGTGCTTTGGGGCAGAGGGGGTTGATGGGGACAAGAGATTCTTGGTACATGGTATTGCTACCCATTCACACAAAAAAAGTGTAGTGTAAAAAAGACAGGAGAGTCTTTGACAAGTACTTTAGTAAAAATTAACAAAATGTCTCCCAAAGTAGGTTCAACGTCAATCACAATGCTACTCAAAAAAAAAAAAAAGTGCGGGGGTCCCCCCCAAAATCCATGCCAGACCCTTATCCAAGCATGCAGCAGGTCAGGAAAGGGGGGGATGAGCGAGCGCCCCCCCTCTCCTCCTGAACCATACCAGGTCACATGCCCTCAACCTGGGGGGGGGGGGTGCTTTGGGACAGAGGAGGTTCCCTCCTCAAAGCACCTTGTCTTCATGTTGATGGGGACAAGAGTTTCATGGTACATGGTATCGCTACCAGGGCGGACTGACAACTCATGGGGCCCCCGGGCAATAGGGGATCATAGGGCCCCTGTGTCCTTGCCCAAACTCAAAAAAGCCTATGAAAAAGGTACCAGGGGCATCTCATGGGGCCCCCTACTGACCCTGGGCCCTCGGGCAGTGCCCGAGTTTCCAAATGGTCAGTCCGCCCCTAGTATGATTGTATTTCATTTTGACTCACCCCCATTATTCCTGTGGCCTTCTCTTTAGAACAAGACTAATGTAGAGGTATTACTAAAGAGGGCAGCACAGTGGCTTAGTGGTCTGCCTTGCAGTAAATGGGTCATGGGTTTGATTCCCAACCATGGCGCCTCCTGCATGGAGTTTGCATGTTCTCCCTGTGCTTGCATGGGTTCCTCCAGGTACTGTGGTTTCCTCCCACACTTCAAAGACATGCTGGTAGGTTAATTGGCTCCTGTCTAAATTGTTTCCAAATTGTCAGTCCGCCCCTGATCACTACCCATTCACACAAAAAAAGTGTATTGTAAAAAAGACAGGAGACAGTCTTTGGCAAGTCCTTTATTTTAAAAAAATGTCTTCCAAAGTAGATCCAACATCAATCATGATGCTACCCGAAAAAAAAAAAAAAAAAAAAAATGCGGGGGTCCCCCCAAAAATCCATACCAGACCCTTATCCGAGCATGCAGCAGGTCAGGATGCAACCCGAAAAAAAAGAAGAAGAAAAACCCGCTCCGCTCACAATGCTGGCTCCATCTGATGACAGTTCTTATATGCTGTCATGACATCACAAGGGGGCGGGGTTCAGCCCAACACTAGTAACAATTTATTAAAATCTCCTCAAATCAACACTTTTAAAGCATTTAAAAAGCACCCACAGACATGCATGTCAGCATGAATAAACATGGGTCCTGCTGAGGAAGCTCTGGTAGAGTAGCGTAACGCGTACAGAATTTGGACCCGCGATGGCTGTACTGATCACTATGACCCGTGTTTGTTCATGCCGAGATACATAGCACTGTGGCCACTTTTTAACTGTAAGTCTTGATTTTAGGAGCTTTTAATAAATTGTTACTATTCAGAGAGCACTATTGCTGTGAATTACTCTAAACACTCGAAAAAGTCCCTATTTTCCTGACAGCAGAGACCCTGGAGCAGGGGCAGACTGACAACTCATGGGGCCCCCGGGCAATTGGGGATCATGGGCCTCCGGGCAATTGGGGAACATGGGGCCCCTGTGTCTTTGCCCACACTCAAAAGACACCCAAAAAAACTTTTAAAACGTGCTTTTGCCCAGCCGTGCCGCCGTATTTATACAGTGGCTGGGTGGCATGTGGTTAAACCACTTCAAGTCTGGACCAGGGGCGGACTGACAACTCATGGGACCTCTGGACAATAGGGGATCATGGGGCCCCTGTGTCCTTGCCCAAACTCAAAAAAGCCTATGAAAAAGGTACCAGGGGCATCTCATGGGGCCCCCTATTGACCCCGGGCCCTCGGGCAGTGCCAGAGTGCTCGAATGGTCAGTCCGCCCCTGCCCTGGAGAATAAAAGGATGGTAGCTGCAATTTTCCTGTGTTGAACAATAGTTGCGCAGCTATTAATCAAATGCATATTTTCAGGGAAAACAGGGTGTAGCATTCTCATAGTTAGGTGCTAGGATTTGTATGGTTAGGTTAACCTCCCTAGCTCATTATGTCCATATTTCTGTGCTCAAAGCGGTACATTTTTTTGCATGGAAATATGTAGTTTTTTTTAATTGTAGGCCTGTAATTTTTAGGAATAACTCCCTGAATTCTGTCAGAACAAGAGTCTAGTAAACATCCCGGAGATGATAAAATTTGAAACACGAAATCATAAATTATAATTTAATAAATAATCATAAAAAATAATAATATAATAATAATAAATTTAATTCAATAATATAATCAAACCAAAAACACTGAAATGTGAAATATAGCGCCAAGTTCGCACATCGCTGAGCAAAGTCGCAGAATCGTTTTCAGTGTCTGATGAGGAATTTCCCCCATGAATCATTATCACTCAATTCTGCAAGTGGTTCTGATTTACTATCGCTGTTCTCTAGTCGGTCTAAAACCGCTTTTGACCTAAAGGGACGCTTTTTGGACGCCATGGACGTTTCTCAGTTTCCAGGCAGAAAGAACAATAAAAATGCAGGCAGGGCGCCGGACAAAGCACTCGGGACAAAATGTATGTGAAATGGTTTGAAACAGGAATGTTATACTATGTGATTTTAGTGTATTTAGTGAATGTCACTTTTACAACTTTCAAATTTCCCGACAATTCCGTCCCCCATATGTCCCGACGCTCGCAGGGAACGGAACCCGGAAGACAGATGCCGGCATCGGCCGGAGGACATTGCCGGGGACACTGCAGGAGGGACATCGCGGGAGCGCAGGACAAGGTAAGTGATCGAGGGATCCCGGAGCAATGCTGCAGTGTATTCCCGAGTGTAGCTCGGGGTTACCACTTGTGGTGCTGAAACTTTACCCCGAGCTACACTCGGGAATACCGCCAGGGGGGTTAAGCAGTGCTGTGTTTCTCTGCTTACCAGAGAGGCTGTCAGATAAATTCAGTGCGGTATTCTGCTTAACAGAGTTCTGTGATTGATTAGTCAGGTCTGCTCATGCTCCTCTGGTGCTGATGGAGTTTGAGTTCTGCCCACCTTCAGGACGCTATGATAGCCTTCCAGAACCTGGGTAGGGGCTAGGCAAAAGCACAGCATAAATATGGATACAGCCCTGGCCCATTGCAGGGGAGGGTTGCCCCATTGAATGCTGGGAGTGGTATTTATATTCGGAGAGCACATGGGTTCAGGGTCTTTCCCAGGAGTGGAGTGCACCAGCCAGGCTGAAGGAAGGTTGCCTCGCCTGGCACTCGCTGCTATGTGGCCTCAGGTCGGTCAGCCTCCAAGTCTGGGATTGCTGCTCCACTCCTTACGCCTACTGCCTTCTGGAAGCTTCCATGGTCCTCCAGAACCAGGTGGAGGCGATAGAGTCCCGACCTGTTAAGTCATCCAGCCTGACCGGCAGTAACCACACCTATTTACAGACTCACACAGGTACCATGAGTCATACACAATAAATTTACCTACACTAGCCCTAGTGGCATACTAGTGGTGTTACACTGATTATAAAGTGTGAGCTGGAGGTTGGCTTCAATTTGTTAGCATATCTAAATCTGCTAATACATTTAAGATTCCCCTCCCGACACAGGCAATGCTGCTGTCTGCTGCGCCTCCTGTGCTTATTCCTCCAGAGCTGTGTTTCACTAATACAGGAAGAGTGGTACTGGCCAGATCACCAGGGCCTGAAGTTAGAGAGAGCGACCCTGGTTGTTCAGGAAGCTGACTGATGGGAGTTGTCCACCAAATCTCTGTCTGGTGTCACTGGATGGTTTCTCTTGAACGATCGGAAGGAGGCAACCATTGTGTCCTTGGGCCTTGTGAGTACTGACATTGAGGAATTTGGGGCTCTGTGTGCTTGCTACCTCCCCTGGTGTTTGATAGTCAGCGTGGGTCTGAAGAGCTTGTCCAAGTGTTGCTACTGTAAAGGACTTTGCTCGGCTACGTTACCTTTGGGCTGTCACCAGGAGTGAACAGACCATTTGAAAACTCGGGCACTGCCCGAGGGCCCGGGGTCAGTAGGGGGCCCCATGAGATGCCCCTGGTACCTTTTTCATAGGCTTCTTTGAGTTTGGGCAAGGACACAGGGGCCCCATGATCCCCTATTGCCCGGGGGCCCCATGAGTTTTCAGTCCGCCCCTGGTCTGGACTTGAAGTGGTTTAACCACATGCCGCCCAGCCACTGTATAAATATGGCGGCAGGGCGGCACGGCTGGGCAAAAGCACGTTTTAAAACGTGTGTCTTGTAAATAGGTAGGGGGCGCGTGCGAGACGCCCCGCCGCCCTACCTGTCCCGCCGATCACAGCCGCGGATGTCAGTCGCCGGGTCACAGCCGGTCGTTACCGGCTATGTCCCGGCAATCGGCAGCAATTGCTGACAGAGAGCACAGCTGCAGTAGCTGTGCTTTCTGTCAGTTCCCTGACAGCTCCAGGACATGCTGATCGGGACAGAAGAGTTTCTCTCTCTCCCGATCAGCGGTGTTCCCTGCAGTACACACCCCGCCCCCTAGTAAAACACTCCCCTCACTCCTATAACCCTTCCCTGAATAATAAACTTAACCCCTTCCTCCCCAGTGCCATTAGTACAGTGTCAGTGGTTTTTTTTTGCACTGATCACTGTATTGGCGTCACTGGGGATGTCAGTGACCCCAAGTCAGTACCCCCCAATGTCAGAATGTCCGCAGTCCCGCCATAAGTCCCTGATCGCTGCCATAAGACGCTGATCGCCGCCATTATTAGTATAAAAAAAAACTAAAAATCCCAGTATCTTTCCCGCCATTTGTAAACGCTATAACTTTCACGTAAACCAAATAATTTACACGTATTGGGTTTTTTTTAGCAAAGACATGTCGCAGAATGCATTTTGGCAGAAATTTATGACTAAATTTGATTTTTTTAAATTTTTTTTACTGGACATGTTTTATAGCAAAAAGTCCAAAATATTGTTTTTTTTCCTCAAAATTGTCAGCCTTTTTTTTTATAGTGCAAAAAATAAAAACCGCACAGGCGATCAAATACCACCGAAAGAAAGCTCAATTTGTGGGGAAAAAAAGGATGTAAATTTCATTTATGTACTGTATTGCATGACCGCGCAAATGTCCGTTAAACTAGCGCAGCGCTGTATAGCAGAAAAAAAATGGCGTAAATTGCAGTATCTATACCATAGTTTGTAGACGCTATAACTTCCACACAAAGCAATCAATATACACTTATTGGGATTTTTTTTTACCAAAAACATGGAGCAGAATACATTTTGGCCTAAATTTATAACCAACTTTGAGTTTACTATATATTTTTTATAGCTGAAAGTAAAAAATATTGTTTTTCTTCAAAATTTTTGGCTTTTTTTTGTTTATAGCGTGAAAAATAAAAAGCGCACAGGTGATCAAATACCACTAAAAGGAAGCTCTATTTGTGTAAGAAAAAAGGACGTAAATTTCTTTTGGGTGCAGCATTGCAGCAAGTAGCAAAAAGAGGAGTGGTCATTAAGGGGGGTAAATCCTCAGGAGGGCAAGTGGTTAAGGAAACCGTAAAGAATAAAACGATTACTTTGTATTTCCAGCCACCCCAAAGTACCCTTCAGTTTTTCATTTTTATGACATGTTGTAAAGCGTTCATTATTTCCCGGAGCCACCTATTTGACTATATAGCTAGACCAGGTATTCAAAAATGTTTTTATGGTGTCTCCTTATTTCTCTGGGTGTCAGTTTATCTTCCATACTCAGCCTAAATATAACAGGTAGAATGTTACCCGACACGTGATCCATAGGGGGGGTATTTACTAAAATTGGAGGGTGCAAAAGCTGGTGCAGCTCTGCATAGAAACCAATCAGCTTCCAGGTTTTATTGTCAAAGTGTAACTGAACAAGCTGAAGTTAGAAGCTGATTGGCTGCCATGCTCAGCTGCACCAGATTCTCAGTGCCCCAGTTTTCGTAACCCCCCCCCCCCCCCCCCATAGCGTCTTTTTCCTGGATCGGCCAGTATTCATCCGACACTTTTGTTAGTGAAAAACCCGAATATTATGTCTTCACTTTAGAGGCCATGGCAGGTTTATTGTATTGTATCTTTCATGTTTAGCTTTCTTTCTCCACAAGGTCTTCTGTATCAGATTTTGTAGCCAGACACCGTATGTTCTCACAAACACAATCTGAAGAGCTTGTCCTCGAAAATAGAATGAGGAAAAAAAGGGGCCACAGTCATCCTAGGCTAGGGTCACACCTATGCAGGTTGCGTTTGAGCTGTTGTTGCATTGCTTCTTTTTTGCGCTTTTGTTTTTTTTTTTTCTTGTTAGGCAGATTTAACCCCTTGCCTGCCGGGCACTTATACCCCCTTCCTGCCCAGGCCAATTTTCAGCTTTCAGCGCTGTTGCACTTTGAATGACAATTGCACAGTCATGCAACACTGTACCCATATGAAATTTTTATCATTTTTTTTTTTGGTGGTATTTAATCACCGCTGGGTGTTTTTTCTTCTTGCGGTATAAACAAAAAAAGAGCAAAATATTTGAAAAAATAAATTCTTTGTTTCTATTATAAAATGTTGCAAACAGGTAATGTTTCTCCTTCACTGATGTGCGCTGATGAGGCTGCACTGATAGGCGGCACTGATGGGCACCGATGGGCAGCACTGATGGGCACTGATAAGCGGCACTGATGAGGCAGCACTGATGGGCACTGATAGGCAGCACTGATGAGGTGGCACTGATAGGCGGCACTGATGAGCTGGCACTGATGATAGGTACTGATAGGCGGCACTGATAGGCGGCACTGACTGGTGGCACTACTGGGCACTAACTGGTGAAACTGCTGGGCACTGACTAGCGCAACTGCTGGCCACTGCTGGGTGGCACTGCTGGGCACAGGTGGTTGCACTGCTGGGCACAGGTGGGCGGCACTTCTGGGCACCGGTGGGTGGAGCTGGTGGGTGGCACTGCTGGGCACCGATCATCAGGGCACTGATCATCAGTGCCCTGATGATCAGGTGCCGATCCCCGCTCTGACAACTGGCGGTTCTCGTTAGTACTTTCCTCACGATCTGACAGAGTGAGGAAAGTGCAGCAATTGCATTTGCCGGTGATCAGCGTGTCATTGGACACGGCTGATCACGTGTTAAAAGGTCGCTAAGATCGGCCTTTTACCACATCACGTGATCAGCTGTGTCCATAGGACACAGCGATCATGGAGATCGCCGGGGGCGCGCCCCCGGGGGCGCGCAGGAGAGCGCATACTGGGAGGACGTCATATGACACCCTCCCAGAACTGGCCTCCCAGAAATGACTGGCCGTCATTTGCCGTCACATCGGTCACATGATCGGAAAAGGTCCTGATCAAAAGGGGAGATCGGGACCTTTCTGGGAGTAGTGGACATATGTGCTGGGAGCGGGCAAGGCACGCGCTCTCAGCACATATGTATTTTTTAAATGCACGCAAATATGCGGCAGCGCGGCATCAAGGCCCTGATGCAGAGAGGCCGCATATTTGCGTGCGATCGGTGTCAAGGGGTTAAATACCACAAAAAGAAAGCTCTATTTGTGCGGAAAAAATGATAAAAATTTAATTTTGGACAAGAGTTGGTTCTGGCCACCTCCGTGGATTGCTTTAACCACTTCCAGTCCGGACACTTTCCCCCCCCCCCCCCCCCCCCCCCCTGTCCAGGCCAGGCCAATTTTCAGCTTTCAGCGCTATCACACTTTGAATGACAATTGCGCGGTCATGCATCACTGTACCCATATGAATTTTTTTGTATTTTTTTGAGACAGATAAAACTTTATTTTGGTGGTATTTATTCACCACTGGGATTTTTATTTTTTTTTGCTATATAAATGAAAAAGTCCAAAAATTAAAAAAAAAAAAGTGTTTTTCTTATAAAAAGTTTGCAAATAAATAATCTTTCTTCATAAATCTTGGCCAAAATGTATCCAGTTATCTTTTCTGTAGAAAAAAAAAAATAACCCAAATTAGTTTATAACCAATAATTATAATTTTTTAATTTTAATTTTTTTTTTATATTGTTATTTATGTTTTTTACATACTGTCACCCTAGCAGTACAGTGACACTGTACTACTGGGGGGTAATGAAGATTTTTTTTTTTTTTTTTTTTTTTTACACTGATTGCTTTTACACCCATAAAGGCTGTAAAAACAATCATTTCTCCTTCACTCATTCTTGCAGCCATTGAGAAAATACTGTGTGAGCTGTGATTGGTCACAGCTTGTCACATGGTACAAGACTGTTGTGAATAGCCCTGTACCATGTGACCTCTGTGATCATTCACAGAATTCACACGTAGTAAGCAATGATGTCAGAAGTGACATCATTGCTTACTACTCTTCATGTCATCACTGATTGGCCAATCAGTGATCACATGATCGGGACCTCACACAGAGATCCCTTACAGCGATCGGTGTTCCACTGTGTCCGGAGGACACAGTGGGCACCGGATCACGGTGCTGCCCGCCCCCAGGGAGCGCGCACAAGCAAGGGGCAGGGAGGCTGTTTACAACGGCCAGATGGGAAGTGGTTAAAAAAGTCCTGGATTCTTTCTTGGATACACAGAATATAACTGGATATAACATTTATAGGGAAAGTTGATCCAGGGAATATCCGATTGCCTCTCGGGGGATCAGGAAGGAATTTTTTCCCCTGCAGGAGCAAATTGGATCGTGCTTTGCTGGGCATTTTGCCTTCCTCTGGATCAACTGTGGGTGTAGGATTATAACTTTTTTTTTTCAATGGTTGAACTGGATGGACTTTTGTTTTTTTTTCAGCCAGACTAACTATGTAACTATGTACAGTGCTGCATGACCGTGCAATTGTCATTAAAAGTGCGGCAGTGCTGAAAGCTGAAAATTGGCCTGGGCAGGAAGGCCCGGTAGGCAAGGAGTCAATGGTACATTTAACAGACCAAAACGGAGCAAAAAAACCCCAAAGAACTCCATTTTAATTTTAGCTTGCCAGTGACGTCCGGAGGCAGGTGCGGGGGGGTGCGCGGGGGTGCGCGCCGCACCGGGTGACACCTACTGCACGGGGTGACACCTGCTCCCCGAAAAGGTAAGTTGTAAAGCAAGCCGACGATCCCTGCAGGATGGATCGGATCGGATCAGAGTCCGATCTATTATGCTCAATCCGCAGATCGTTCGAGGGGAGTCGGGGGGGTGTCACCAAGTGTTATGACACCAACCCTAGGGATGTCCCTGCAGCTTGCAGTAAAGAAATGTGGAAAAGGGGGTCAATACCTTTGCCAAGCCCTGCACAGAGACGAACGACTTTCATGAGATTTCTGGATATAAAACGACTTGGAATGAAGTTATTCGATGTATCTCCTCTTTTGGTAACTGACAGAAAGCTCCTCCCATTCCCAAGTCTGTGCCTGTTATGAAGTATTATAGAGCATTGGGATAACACTGCATTAGCATCAAATAGTAACAAAATGTGAAATATCTTTGGATATGTAAATCTTTGGCTGTATTGTGACATGACCCCAAGCCTTGCTTAGCTGTAGGATCTTCCATCAATATTTTCTATGAATATTTCTGGTTTTGGAGAGGAAACGGACATTTTCGGCTGAGTAGACCAGGAAACTCATTACCCTTCATTGTGAGTAATTATCTAATCTTGTACTAATGAGGAGTGAGGGTGTCACCTTGAATGGAATGACACTTTCTAATTAAGGATTAAGATCAGGGGCATATTGGCTGCGAGGCAAACTAGGCATTTTCCTTGGACAGCATTTTTCAGGGGTCGGCGGTGCCCCCCCCCCCCCCCCCTGAAGAATGGCCACTGGTTCTCCTTATCACCGGGGCACAGAAGCAGAGCGGAGTGAAGGGAGCTCTGCCCCATGGAAGAATGGCTGCTGGTTCTCCTGGGTAGCAGAGTGGAAATGGAGGGAGCGCCGCCCCCCCCCCCCCCCAGAAGAACGGCCGCTGGTACTCCTGGGCAGCAGAGCAGAGTGAAGGGAATGCTGCCCCCCGGAAAAACGGGCGCAGGTTCTCCTGGGCAGCAGAGAGGAGTAAAGGGAGTGCTGCCCCCCCCTGGAAGAATGGCCACTGGTTCTACCCAGAGTGGAGTGAAGGGAGCACCACCCCCCCCCCCCCCGGAAGAAAGGCCGCTGGTTCTCCTGGGTAGCAGAGCGGAAATGAAGGGAGCAGAGTGAAGTGGAGCACCCCCCCCCCCCAGGAGAATGGCCGCTGGTTCTCCTGGGCAGCAGAGCAGAGTGAAGGGAATGCTGCCAACCGGATGGACAGCTGCTGGTTCTCCTGGGCAGCAGAGAGGAGTAAAGGGAGTGCTGCCCCCCCCCCCCCCCCCCCGGAAGAATGGAAGAATGGCCGTTGGTTCTACCCAGAGCGGAGAGAAGGGAGCACCGCCCCCCCCCCCCCCGGAAGAACAGCAGCTGGTTCTCCTGGGTAGCAGAGTGGAAATTAAGGGAGCGCCGCCCCCCGCGGAAGAACGGCCGCTGGTACTCCTGGGCAGCAGAGCATAGTGAAGGGAGAGCCGCCCCCTGGAAGAACGGCTGCTGGTTCTCCTGGGCAGCAGAGCGGAGTGTAGGGAGCGCCACCCCAAGAAGAATGGCCGCTGGTTCTCCTGGGCAACAGAGCGTAGTGTAGGGAGTGCCGTCCCCCGGAAGAACAGCCACTGGTTCTCCTGGGCAGCAGAGTGGAGTGTAGGGAGCGCCGCCCCCCAAGAGAACAGCCGTTGGTTCAGCTTAGTAAAAAATATGACTGTCCCAGCAAATCCGGGACAGTTAACAAGTATAATGTAATGCAAGAATTATCACAGGGCCCCCATGCATTATCTGGTGTGCCCATGCATTAAGACAGCCCTGACCATTGGTGTCTATGGAAGGACTCCAAACTATGGACTGCAGGCCAAATCCAGCTCAAGATTTTATCCAGCCCTCTACTGTAAGGGGGGGACCCAAATATAAGGAGGTCTCTGATGGAAGGGGGGGGGGCACCCACATGGAAGAAAAATATATTTTAAATATATCTTAAAACTACTTTTCCCAAATATATTAACATATAAATACTACAATTTTGTCCGTATTCAATATATTTCAATATACATACATATATATATACTGTATATACTGCATGTTGAAATGCGTTTTTATATATTACAAGATATATGAAACATATTTTTCAAAAAAAAAAATTTTAAATATATTGTTCAGATTTTTTTTAACTTATAAAAAAGTATTTTAACATATATTTTTAGATATTTTTATAAATGCATTCCAAAAATGTAGATTTGAATGTATTTTAAAAGACATAAATTATATTTGAAAATGTATTTTTTTTAAAATATTTTTCATGTATTTTGTAATAAAAAAAAGTGTACTAAAAAAACTAACAAAGCAAAAAACAGCATTCTGTGGAGATTATATATCTGTGTGTGTAGGTTTGTCTGCCCATTATATCTACATTTAGAGTTTGCATTACTGATAATATCTGCAAGGGAGTAAAAAGCCCAGCAATCCTACTGCAGACTGAGTGCTCTGGTGCCCCCTACTGTTCTCAGTGCACATTACAGACCAGAAGATGGGCTTCCAGACCTCTCTGGTGATGTGAATTGAGGCTCACAGCTTAAGACCTCTAAGGCGTCATTTTATTTATTTATTTCAGGTACTTATATATCGCCATCAATGTACGCCGCGCTTTACATATATATTGTACATTCACATCAGTCCCTAACCCTCAAGGGGCGTACAATCTAAGGTCCCTAACTTACATTCATACATACACATACTAGGGACAATTTAGACAGGAGCCAATTCACCTACCAGCATGTCTTTGGAGTGTGGGAGGAAACCGGAGTACCCAGAGGAAACTCACGCAGGCACAGGGAGAACATGCAAACTCCAGGCAGGTGGTGACGTGGCTGGGATTCGAACCAACGACCCGAGTACTGCCAGGCGGAAGTTTAATGGGTGCATTTTGTTTATTGAATGACATAAAAATATTGGTACACGGCCACACCGATGCAATTGCATGATCTGCAGATCTGGGGACCTGCCTGAGAATAGATCCCCTGACCTCAGATCCCTCTAGATCAGGGGTGTCAAACTGGTACTCCTAAACCTTGTGGACGGCCTTCCCAGAAGAGTTGAAGCTGTTATAGCTGCAAAGGGCGGGGCCAACTCAATATTGAACCCTACGGACTAAAGCAGGCCATACATGGGTCGAATTCCAAACGATTTTTTCGATCACAAATCAAAAACACTGTTCATTCTGTAATCCAATGGTGCCACCAATGATTTTGAAACTCGGTAGTTTTTCATGAATTTTCCAGCATGCCCGATAAACAAAATGGGGAGGAACCACGAAAATCAACCGGTGCCATTGCCCCACTCAAAGAGCGAAAATCGGCCGATTATTCTAAGGTCCGATTTTCGAACACAAAATCGTTTTCGAAAATCGACCCATGACTGGGATGCCATTAAAGTCCATGTGCGTGTAAAGGCAGGCGACCCAGTACTTTTGGCAATACAGTGTAGGTCACTCCATGGTATCTGAGACCAGGGGCGGACTGACCATTCGAGCACTCGGGCACTGCCCAATGGCCCGGGGTCAGTAGGGGGCCCCGCCCCTACCAGCGCCACCTCTTCTGGAGGGTGGCGCAACCCTCCTTAAAAAAAAATGCCACGCCTTTTTTGCGGCAAATACGCCCCTGGGTGCAAATCCGACAGTCGCATCGATTTTGAAGGTACTTCATGCACTACTTTTTTGCAAGTTAAAGGAGGTGCAGGGGCGGACTGACCATTTGGGAACTGCCCGAGGGCCCGGGGTCAGTAGGGGGCCCCATGAGATGCCCCTGGTATCTTTTTTATAGGCTTTTTTAGGTGTGCTTTGAGTGTGGGCAAGGACACAGGGGTCCCATGATCCCCTATTGCCTGGGGGCCCCATGAGTTGTCAGTCCGCCCCTGTCTGGGACATTTCTAGAGTATAGAAGGCGAGAGGCGTGCCAAGACCGAGAGGTCGGTGAAATAAAATCGTCCTTGCTGTGAACCCTCCGATGCCGGGCTATGTATTCTGCAGCGGCAGTGAGGCGGTTAATGTTCCTGGCAGCGCTCCCCCTGGTGATGTGGGAATGGCGCTCGCCTGGCACAGCTGTCATTTGACTTGTACAACCTCCAGGACTTCAGAAGATCCGAGGCGTTTCATCGGCGATGTCAGAGTTCAGCTTCAAAGCCTTTGATGTCTCCTCTTATTAAAGTTGATCTGGGAGCAGATGTATCGGCGCCCCCGTGTAGCCATTCATACGCGGGCCCCTCGCCGCCAACCCTCCCCTACCGCTGGGCTGCTCTTTTTCCCATGCCAGTCACCAAAGAAGGCATTGCAAGATCTGTGCCAGGATGCGGCTCTCCGCCTGTTGCTGACCTACAACTCTCAGCGTGGAATGGCTGGAGAGTCGCTCATGGCCCGGAGCTCCATCGACAAAAATACGGACCAGGGGCGGACTGACAACTCATGGGACCCCAGGCAATAGGGGATCATGGGGCCCCTGTGTCCTCGCCCAAACTCAAAAAAGCCTACGAAAAAGGTACCAGGGGCATCTCATGGGGCCCCCTACTGACCCCGGGCCCTCGGGCAGTGCCCAAGTTTCCAAATGGTCAGTCCGCCCCTGATACGGAGCATCTTCTAAAGAATATCCGCCATCGGCGATACGCAAAGTTCCATCGCATTCCTCTGGGATCTCTAGAGCTCTGACGTTTATTTGCAAGCCTTTAACTCCTTGAGTCTCCGGTCACACCGCTGCGACCCGTCATGCGATTTAATAGTTTCAAGTCGCATAAGTCACACCCTATCGCCCGCCATGGAAGCGGTCTTATAGGTGCGATCAGTAGTGTATTTTATGTTTTTGCAACACAAAAAAAAATCTGCCGCCCCCCTCTTCTTGGGGGTGGCGTCACCCTCCTTAAAAAAATGCCATGCCTTTTTTGCGGCAAATACGCCCCTGGGTGCGATTCCGACAGTCGCATCGATTTTGAAGGTATTTCATGCATTACTTTTTTGCAAGTTTAAGAGGGTGAACCAGGTTCAGGAGGGTGGGAAATCAAAATCAAGAACACAAAATGATCTGCTGCCCCCCCCCCCCTTCGGAGGGGTGGCACCACCCTCCTTAAAAAAGCCACGCCTTTTTTTGCGGCAAATAAGCCCCTGGGTGCGATTCCGACAGTCGCTCGATTTTGAAGGTATTTCATGCACTACTTTATTGCAAGTTCAAGGTTGTGAACAAGGTTCAGGAGGGCGGGAAACCAAAATCAAGAGCACAAAAAATCTGCCGCCCCTACCAGCGCCCCCTCTTCTGGGGGGTGGCACCACCCTCCTTAAAAAAAAATACCACGCCTTTTTTGCTGCAAATACGCCCCTGGGTGCGATTCCGACAGTCGCATCGATTTTGAAGGTACTTCATGCACTACTTTTTGCAAGTTCAAGGGGGTGAACAAGGTTCAGGAGGGCGGGATTTCAACAGGAAACCAAAATCAAGAACACAAAAAAAATCTGCAGCCCCTAACAGCGCCCCCTCTTCTGGGGGAGGAGCCACCCTGCTTAAAAAAAATGCCACGCCTTTTTTGCGGGAAATACGCCCATGGGTGCGATTCCGATAGTCGCATCGATTTTGAAGGTACTTCATGCACTACTTTTTTGCAGGGGCGGACTGACCATTTGGGAACTCGGGCACTGCCCAAGGGCCCAGGGTCAGTAGGGGGCCCCATGAGATACCCCTGGTACCATTCATAGGATTTTTTGGGTGTGGTTTGAGTGTGGACGAGGACACAGGGGCCCCATGATCCCTTTTGCCCGGGGGCCACACAAATACCTGCAGCCGCACCACCCACACAGAGGAACGGGGGACCCACACATACCTGCAGCCGCACCACCCACACAGAGGAATAGGGGACCCGCACAAGTGCCTGCAGCCACACCGCCCACACAGAGCAATGGGGGACTCACACAAATACCTGCAGCCGCACCACCCACACAGAGGAACGGGGGACCCTCACAAATGCCTGCAGCCGCACCGCCCACACAGAGGAATGGGGGACTCACACAAATACCTGCAGCCGCACCACCCACACAGAGGAATGGGGGACCCTCACAAATGCCTGCAGCCGCACCACCCACACAGAGGAATGGGGGACCCTCACAAATGCCTGCAGCCGCACCACCCACACAGAGGAATGGGGGACCCTCACAAATGCCTGCAGCCGCACCACCCACACAGAGGAATGGGGGACCCTCACAAATACCTGCAGCCGCACCACCCGCACAGAGGAACGGGGGACTCAAACAAATACCTGCAGCCACACCACCGACACAGAGGAATGGGGGACTCACACAAATACCTGCAGCCGCACCACCCACAGAGGAATAGGGGACCCGCACAAGTGCCTGCAGCCACACCGCCCACACAGAGGAATGGGGGACCCGCACAAATACCTGCAGCCGCACCACCCACACAGAGGAATGGGGGACCCGCACAGATACCTGCAGCTGCACCACCCACACAGAGGAACGGGGGACCCGCACAGATACCTGCAGCCGCACCACCCACACAGAGGAACGGGGGACCCGCACAAATACCTGCAGCCGCACCACCCACACAGAGGAACGGGGGACCCACACAAATACCTGCAGCCGCACCACCCACACAGAGAAACGGGGGACCCACACATACCTGCAGCCGCACCACCCACACAGAGGAATAGGGGACCCGCACAAATACCTGCAGCCGCACCACCCACACAGAGGAACGGGGGACCCACACAAATACCTGCAGCCGCACCACCCAAACAGAGGAACAGGGGACTCACACAAATACCTGCAGCCGCACCACCCACACAGAGAAACGGGGGACCCACACATACCTGCAGCCGCACCACCCACACAGAGGAATAGGGGACCCGCACAAGTGCCTGCAGCCACACCGCCCACACAGAGCGATGGGGGACTCACTGGAAGCCGCACGGGACCACGGCTACTCCCGCACCGCATTCTAGTGTGAACGGGCACTAACTCTTGGTTCACATCTGTGCGGGTGGTGCCGCTGTGGAACCCGCACAGATACCTGCAGCCGCACCACCCACACAGAGGAACGGGGGACTCACACAAATACCTGCAGCCGCACCACCCACACAGAGGAATGGGGGACCCTCACAAATGCCTGCAGCCGCACCACCCACACAGAGGAACGGGGGACCCGCACAAATACCTGCAGCCGCACCACCCACACAGAGGAATGGGGGACCTGTGGGCAGGTGCCATTAATTCTAATGGCACGCCGCCTGCACTGGAAATCGCAACTGTACTGGGAACCGAGGTTCCCGTGCGGGTTGAGATTTCCCACGTTGTGCAGGGACTTCTTTTCCTGCGTGTCCCGGGGCACCAGAGTACATCCAAATGAATGGGCTCTCATGCCCGAGCAAATCGCGGACCGCGCAGCCGCACATATGTGTACCAGGGCTAAAGGGTAGCTCCACATTCAGGGGAAAAAGAAATAGAAAAAAAAAAAAAAAAAAAAGAATATAACATACACAACTGCTGCACGGGTCATATTGTCATTGAATGTCTTTCAAAATGACCTGCAGCCTGGAGGCATTCTAAATACAGATGGTATACAGAGCGCCCCCAGAAATGTAATTTCCTGCTTTGTGATTGGCTCAATGATTTCCCCAGAAGTCTGCACTAAAATACAAGTCAGATTTTGGGCATCCCCTGCAACACAAATGTCATTATTGGTGAGATACTCCCAATTGGAAATGACATCTTACCCCAGGTTCACATCTGTGCGGGTGGTGCCACTGCGGATCCCCACGAAGTCCCTGCACTTCTTTGGAAAATGCAGCCCGCATGGGAACCTCGGTTCACAGTATGGTTGTGATTTCCAGTGCGGGTGGCGTGCCATTAGCTCGCGGATCCGCATTCTTCTGTGCGGGTGGTGCGGCTGCACAGATTTTCATGCGGATCCGCAGCGGCACCACCCGCACAGATGTGAACCTAGCCTAACACCCCCATCACATCGGGTGTGACTTGGCATGAGATTTGCATGCCGTGCGACTTGCAAATCGTATGCCAAGTTGCACCCTATTGTCCGCATTTACAGCGGTCATATCGGTGCGGTTCCGACTTGGTCGGAGCCGCACCGAACTCTAAAGTAGTACATGTACGACTTTTGGTACCATTTGAAATTCAAATTTCGGAAGACGGTTATATTCTATTTTAATCTACTCTGCTCTATTCTTTTGCTTTTCTCTATTCTTTTCTAATCTATTCTGTTCTTTTACTTTCTATTCTATTCTCCTCTATTCTAATCTAATGTATTTTATTCAAATTTATTCTATTTGAAATCTGTATTTCGGAAGACAGTTATATTCTTTCTATTTTATTCTATTCCTTTATATTTTATTTTATTCTATTCTATTCTTTTAGGTTCTATTTCATTCTATCCTTTTATTTTCTATTATATTTTGTTCTACTTTATTTATTTCTATTGTATTATTTTATTTTTCTATTCTCTTCTTTTCCATTCTATTCCTTTATTTTCTATTCTATTCTGTTTTACTCTATGTATTTCTATTCTATTCCTTAATTTTCTATTCTATTCTGTTTTAAAGGAAGGAATAAAAGAATAGAATAGAAATACATAGAGTAAAACAGAATAGAATAGAAAATAAAGGAATAGAATAGAAATACATATTCTATTTTCTATTCTCTTCTGTTCTGTGTCACTTCATTCTTATCAATTCTATTCTATGCCTTTATTTTCCTATATTTGTTCTATTCAATTTTGTTTTCAAATTTGAACTCAATTCAAATTAATTTTGAATCGAATTTCAGACAGAATTCGTTTAATTATTTCAGATACGTCTAAATTCTGAATCTCCGAATAACAAAAAATTTGTCTGAATTTCGATTTGTAACAAAATGAACACACATGTCTATGTACAGCCCCCCCCCCCCCCTGCATACAAGAATTGCTCTCCGATCCCAATCTACAGGGATTAAATACTGCCCCCTATCTCCTCCCCACACTGATCCTATCTGAACAGCGGGAATTTGGGTGAGGGGCGGTAATCAAACCCTGTACAGCGGGGAGAGCACAGCCCACATCTCCTCCTGACTCTCTCCTCCTCTCTGCTGTCACTACTCCTACAGAATTTGTGCCCAGAGGGGGTTTGTGCTAGGAGGGGAGGTTTTGGGTGGGGGGGAGTTGTGCTAGGAGGAGGGATGGGGGGGTTGTGCTAAGAGTGGGGTTTTGGGGGGGATTTGTACTAGGAGGGGGGATTTGGGAAGGGGGGTTGTGCTAGCAGGGGGATTTGGGGGGTTGTGCTAGGAGTGGGAATCTGGGGAAGGGGGTGCTAGGAGTGGAAATTTGAGGGAGGGGGGTTGTGCTAGGGCTGGATTTGGGGGAGGGGGGTTGCACTAGGAGGGGGGATTTGGGGGAGGGGGGTTGTACTAGGAGGGCGGATTTGGGGGGAGGGGGGTTGTGCTGGGGGTGGATTTGGGGGAGGAGGGTTGTACTAGGAGGGGGGATTTGGGGGAGGGGGGTTGTACTAGGAGGAGGGATTTGGGGGAAGGGGGTTGTACTAGGAGGGGGGATTTGGGGGAGGGGGGGTTGTACTAGGGGGAGGGATTAG